CACAAATAAATCCTGAACCGAACTGGAAACCCCCAAAGCTAAAAAGTGAAGTCCCCACCTTACAGCATTGTCTATTGGGTGAGTTATTGAATGTCTGTAGTGAAAAGTGGAGTTTTATCAATCTACCTGCAACACTTTAGAAATTGATACCCCCTTCCCCCTTTTCCCCCACTCCATGCTCGTTTTGAGCTTTCATTTGGTTGAGGTTTGTGGAAAAACAGACACGCGCTTAAATGAACAGATACATCAACAGACAATATGAAAGATGGAAAGATAGGCAGAAAGAATGAAAGAGGGAGATAAAGAGTAAGAAAGCGAGGAGGAGAGACAGAGGAAGAGACAGAGAGAGACATTTATTTTTTGAAGCTATGTCCTAACAAACACAATGTAGTAGAACTTTGCTGATTCAACAAAAGAAAAATATAATTCTTGTGTTGAAAACCATACCAATCGAATGCACTATTTGTTTAGCAGGTCTGAAGGACTAAACGATTATCACGTAATATTATATTATAGCCTATCCATCTAGGATGCCTTTCGGATAAATCTAAATCTTTGCGTAACAAACAGCAACATCAACCATAAAAATAATAATAAAGATAAACATAACAATAACGGTAATGGTAATACTAACAAAAATAATATTGATAATGCTATTGATAATGACAAAGAAGAAAATGATGATGATGATGATGATGATGATGATGATGATGATGATGATGATGATGATGACAACGACGATCACAAAAACAATAACAACAATGTAAACGACAACATCCTCCCCCCTATACTCGACAATTATTAATTATGTTATTCCACCGCACAGCTCGACTCCAGGCTGCTCAGCGTCTGAGAGGGAAGATATTATCTCCAAGCACGGTTGTTTTCTCTAACTCAAAGTTAGATCAGATAACGCTTTTTAACAAAACTCACGCGTGTGCGCGAGAGAGCATTTAGTGCTAAACGCTGAAAGTTTAGATAAAAATCCCCCCTTTGTAAAGCGAACAAAGGATGTGTGTTTTAGCAGCTACCTTTTGGTGCAGTGACGTTACACATGTCGGAACGAGAACTTACGCTAACTAATCTTGATTTAATCAAACTTGTGTATTTTTATCCGCAGAATTAGCTGCACAGTTTATCTGAGATCAGTAAGTTTATCTTTCAGAAATCTGTACGTTACGCTAATTTGGTGTCAGTATTGAGAAACACAATAAAACTAACAATAGCGTTTTATTGTCATGAATTGATGTATAGAAATAATACGTGTAAGTCCAAATGAAGATAAGGAAGTTTTATATGAATTCTTATGTCCGTTTCAAACGTGAACCCGAGTGATCTATACATTTTTGAGTAGTGTGAGTAAAGACAAAGACATCAACACAATAAAGGTCATTTAGTACAGGGGAAAAGAAAGTAAGAAATATAAACAGACATACAGAAACAACAGAGGCAAAAAAAAAGGGAAGTAGGGTTTTCCAGGGGTGTCCTGAAACCATCCGTGATCCATGTACTGGGTATCTAAATCTACTTAGCTTTAGTAGAGGTTTTACGACGTTGTCAACTGCATAAGGTCTTATGAGCTCAAATCTAAATCTACGTGATGGTCGCATTATTAGTATATTAACTATTCTTTCTTTTAAGACTTCGAATCTACTTTGATAACAAAAAATATTTAGCCAGCTAATACAGTGTCCATTACCTTGTATTATAT